CAATGGTCCTTTTCGGCACAGCTTGGCCCATTGAACAAAATAGGACAAAATTTACACGCCAGAATTTACACAAAAAAGTGTAATTTTTTTACACCCCAATTTGGCGTATAAATCATTTATACCGTTTTTGGCGTGTAAATTTTCCGAACGTGTAAAATTACACGCAAAGGATCTATCAGGTGGGGTCGGCCCACCAGGGCAGCCGGAACCTTGCATGTGACTCGCACCTCAATGTGCTGACCGTCACGAGTTGGAGTAACGTTGGTGAGCTGCAGAAGTGGAGCGGCCGTAGGGTCGTCAGCTAATGCCCGTGTGAGATAGAGCAGCAGCTGTACTGGCAGCAACACACCACAGTGCAGCAGTGGGGTCCCCTGTGTCGCATCAACACTCGTGCCGCCTCCCCCAGTAGTGCGCCGTTGGCTGGAACCGGCGCCGCGTCGGCTGCCTGTCTGCAAAGGTTCTCGCATGGCGGTGGGGTCTCGCTTGGGAGCCAAGGACATTTGCACCAAGCTGCCGTCCCGGACTGGAGACTTCCGTCCTGCCAGGGCACGGGGGAGCGACCCCTTGAGTCCTGCAAGCTCATCGAGAGAAGCAGCCACCACCAGATCTCTGGTCGAGCAAGCTCATACCAGGATAGGTCAAAAACTCGTCCTTCAGGCAGGCGCAGAACTGGGTCGCAAAACTGAGCCAATGCGACAGACACTGCCAGCAAGGGCGTTAGACAGACGCGAAAGGCTTCGCTATCAGTGCAGCGTCGCAACATGAGGGCCCGGTCAGCGAAATCCACCACCTTCACCCCAAAATTCTGAGGGCTGAGTTTGACTTCACAAGCGGGCAGGGACAAGGAGAGGGAAAGCAAGGTCAGGCAATCGGTGGGGTTGGGCAACAATTGTTGTAGTGCACCCGCACAGTCCATTCCTTCGACAGGCCGCTGTTGCCGGCCCCGAGCTTGGTAGCGCCGAAGGGTATCATGCTGCTCTTCGAATTCGTCCTCGTCTTCTGCCGGTACACACCGGCTGGCAATGGATGTAACTCCCGGCACAAGGCGGCAAGGCGGAGTCTCCACTGCGTCCAACAGGGCCGCCACACGTTGGCTCCATGTAGCACTAGGTGCGGCGGGAAGGGAGGCAGCTCAACTTTGACTGCGCAACTCCGCGGTCAGCGCAGGATCCTCTTTGGCAGGCACTCCTGTGCCCGGGTCCGGGCGAACCTTTCCCGTCGGATCATAGAGGGCGCGTGGCAGGCCCGTAGTAGCAACCGGCGGCAACATGACCGTTTCAGGGCTAGAGTGACGTACCTGTGACGACACAAAACGCTGCAACCTCCCAAGCAACGTCTTGTTGATCGTATCCGAGGCAATGGCATAAAGGTAGAATGCCCCCGGCACAGCGGTGACCAGCGACTCCGATGAGCTGGCTTGGCCCCGACACACTGTCGCTGGCGGGTCGAAGGACATGTGCGTCCCGACGAGAGACCTGTGGTGAGTGGAACGGAGCGCACTGTATAGCCTTTTGGGGGGAGGCACGCCCACGCCCTTGTGCTCTCGAAGACGGTGGAGACCAAACCGCAGCGGTGTAGTAAACTCTAGCAGTCCGAAGACTGGGCAATCGGTGTCAATCACGGGTAGAACGGGCGTGCCGTGATGGTTTGGCCACTAGGTCCACTGTGCTCAAAATCCACACCCCGGAGGAGGAGCTGGACCGGGTAACCATCCATGCCACTGTGTGCAGCGACGGCTGTAGCGTCGCAGAGCGGGGGAACGCGGTTCACGGACCACCGTTCATAGAATTCCCGGGCAGTCTCCCTATCCGCGCGCTGTGGGCTTTGAAGTCCAAGCCTGGCGAGTCCGTATGTTTGGTAGAGTTCCTCCCATCGGACGTGGGTGTGATGGAGGGAGGCATGGAGCTCTAATGCAGCAACAATGCCCCACCAATGGGAGGGGGAGGCAATGATCAATGGGCCCGTGGGTCGTGTACTGCCTGCCGTGAGCTGTTGGTGGGCGTCTTCCCCCGACATGGTAAAGCGCCCCGCCCTGTCAACAAGGCAAATGTCAACCGCCCCCGTGGTGCCAGCACACACTGTGGTGGTGAAAAGGTCAATAAAGGCGCCCAGTTCGTTGTGATGGTCATAAAAGAAGGAGAAAAGGGATGCGGCCTGCTCCTCAGTGGCTAGCTGCCCCGGAGGGGGCAGCTCTGGCAACCATTCCGAAATGAACTCCGCAAAGGAGGTGCCCTCAGCCACGACCCTGTGCGCGTCACCTGTGTCGGCGTTGGCGGGGCGCGCATTGCTGAGGCCAAGACCATGCTTGAGAGAGTCGAAAACCCTAGTGGTCGGTGTGACGACCGTGATTTTCCGTCCTGCCTGAACAGCAAATCGATGTCCGCAGACATTGTAAGCAAGGACCAGCAGGACACAGAGCAATTCCACTAAGTTCCCCTGGTGCATGGCCGAGGATGTCTGCTTCGGTAATCGAATGAAGTACACTCCCGGCTGATGAGAGCCATCAGCCGCGACTCGCTGCAGTCGCCGTGCGGGGGTATCCGCCGCCAGTTCTAGAGGTGTCAGTGGCCTTGTGCAGGACAATGGATTGCGGGTACCTGACGGCAGTGATAAGCAGATAAAGATCGGAGGCAACCAGGGCTAAGTTCAAGCAAACCCCGTTAATAGGGGCTAGGCCTTCAGCTTGCATAGCTGTATTGGCCGGCGCAAGTATTGCGCCGACTGCCGACAGACGGTTGAGGTAGCACAGGATCGCTTCGCTATGGGATGCCGACTGGTGGAGGAAGTCCACCGCAATAGCCGCTGGCGTAAGGCGACCGGGGTGTGGACACGCCCGATCTCCCACCCTTGTGATGCCGGAATAAGGGATGAAGTATTTCAGGCCTTGTCGGGTTACCCGGCAGCCACGGAGGTCGCGGAGATCCACGCCTAGGCCGACCTCAACTTCGTCCTCCACTCCAAAGAGGCATTCTGACAACTCCCGGCATACTGTGAGACTGGTGCCCGGAGGTGGCTCGGCGCCCTGATGGCCATTGTGGCGATGTCCGAGGCTGGACCACCTGACTGTGTGAAGCGGTCCCTGCGGGGTAGACTGCACCAAGCCACGCAGTGCAGCGGCGAGCCGCCCCGGAGAAACCGGCTGCGGAGCCAGCTGAGCAATTCCACGGATGCCAACAGGTTTGGCGATGAGGCGGGCCAACGTGCGCAATTGAACCTCACCTTTGCCGCCTCCAGCGGGTTGTCGTGGGTCGCCTGTGCGAATGACAAGCTGGCCTTCCGCATTGGCAAGGATGGCAGCCGAGGAAGGCTGCCCCTCCTGTTGCCCCTCATCTATCACGATAACATGCGCATTGTTGAGGAAGGTCTTAACCTCACTGTAGGAGGCATATCGCAGTTGCAACGCAGCCGACCCCTGTGTGAGCAGCAGCATGTGAGCGCTACTGACCGAAGGGGAGGCAAGACGCGCACTGCGCCCCGTTACCCCGGGCTGAACCGTGGCGATGTCCCCAAGCCCTGCCGCTTGGTGCTCAGCTGCCTCGGTGAAGGGCACATGGTCAAAGCACGGGTCGATCATTTCAGCATCGCCGGAGACCCTCCGCACAACAACGAGCGGACGCAGCCATTCTGGGGCATCGGCCAAGAGGTTGGAGGCGATACGCACGACTGCGATGAGCGCTGAATGCTGCTGAGCTGTCCAAAACACAGTTTGCTCCAACACAGCGTCCATGCAGACCAGAGCGCACCACAGGGAAAAGGTTTTGGAAGAGCCCGCGCACCCCAAGATGCTAAGCGAGCTGCGTCTTTGTGCCCGGGCGGCCAGGATGGCCGATATGTGTCCACTCAGGAGTCCATCCGGACTTTTCCTTCTCTCGCAGCGCTCAGTCTTGAGTAGAACGCCTAGCGTAGGCCCAGCATGCGCAAGGTAGTTGTTATGCGCAAGGCATCTTTCAGATGCACAGGGCACCCCGTGCCGACAGCACTAGAGCGAGTGCACCATACACGTCCGGCCCGAAAGCTCAGCAACGCGTATGCTACAGTGTAACAAAAAGCACTAAGTCAAGGATCCCTAAAGGCAAACGACATGGCAACAAAGTACACTGTACAACTAACGGTTTCTACCGGTGCTCAGTGGACTCAGGACTCAGAAATAACATGAAATGAATGAAAAGCCATATCGCATCATGCAGTGCCCCCAATGGCACTCTCCTCGACTCTGCAAAGAAAGACTGCATCACAATCACGAGCATAAAGGGTTGTATCACTCAGTTTGACAGGCTTGGCAATCTTACCATTGGTATGTGCATGCCATCCAGTCTTCTTTGAGCTCGCCCAGTAACGAGCACCGAAAGGATCACCAGTTGCACCATGCACGACCACAGACATGAGCTGATACGGTATGTTGTAAGTTGCAACACTCTCCGCATGAAAACATGGGACATGAACTGTTGTCGGTGCTTTGCCCTGGTTGATCAATCGCCACTCACCCGATGTACTGCAGAGCCACCTTGGGGAAACAACACAAAGGATATCAGGAGCCTGAACAAGTGCACAGCGAGCCTCCTGTGTACGCCATTCTGAGAAAAGTGCACTCATGTCCAGATGGCATGTGTTCCCCAGGATTTCAGCCTGCAAGCAAATCGGTTGCCATGTGTCGCCAGCTTGGTTGCAAACGAACGAGCCATCAGGAGCAGCCGTTCTGGCCTCCCATCGTCCTTGCATGGACTGAGCCGCAGCCTTTGGCAGAATGTATTGCAGCCAGCCTGTGATGGTGGGTGTTGTCGAGTCCCAGCCTTGGAGCCATGACCGCCATGGCAGTGAAGAAGACAACCTGAACGATGTGCCCATAGCAAGAAATGACTTAACGGCAGAAGCGAGGCGACCTGTGAGGAAGTCCACATCATATTTGTCAGCACCTGCCATAAGCCAAGCAAGCATGCATACCACCATGTAACCATGTCGATCATGCAAACTGAAAGCTGTAGCGAGGATCCCGGCCACCTTTAGCGCCGAAGAGCTGCTGCCATCTTTGCGATGTGTTGGGCGAGCGGCTGTAAGTTCATGCGCTCGCCGCGAATCCGAACCCCCACCAAACGGAGAGCTGCGCTGCCCGTCAAGCTGCGGAGCAAGTCGTGGGCTTGCTGTGCTCGAGTGCCCCTCATTGCCACCGCCAAAATGAAGGGGAGAGTATCCCCCGTCACCGATTCGGTGAGCTTCCGTGTCGAGTGGAAGCGGTGAATGAGCTCCTCTTTCCCTGCCAACACCAGCTGTTGCAGGTCGTTCGCAATCTGCACCATCTGAGTGTGGCCGACTGGTGGGCGGGTGGCATCCAGCTCCAATCGACGGCTCTCCGCATTCCATTGCTGAAACGTCCAATGGAGCTCCTTCTCGCCCTGCACTTTGATCCACCCCTGGGCCTCCATCTTCTTTACTGTAGGCTCGTCCTTGGTCATCGTGTCGAGGCGGGTGATCCATTCCGCAAGGAGGCTTTTGATTAAGGCGACCCGAAGGGAGCTGGTCACCGTCGGCGGGGTTTTGTCCCGCCCCGTTTTCCAAGCCTGCGCCACTTGCCACAGCGGAGCCAGTAGGCCATGTGTCCCTGACTCGAGATGCAACAGGAATTGCTTCTCGGTTCGGATAAGTTGCAGCTCCTCCTCTTGTTTCAAGGTCAGCCTGCACAAGGCCTCCACCAGTTGCTCCATGGTCGGCCGCGGATGCCTGTGAAGAGCACCCCAGCTGTTGGCATCCCAGCTGTTGACACCCCAGCCGTTGTAGTCCCAGCTGCCCCAGCTGTTTTGCCCCCGTCCTCGGCCGTCGTTGCCGTGACGTCCGCCCTTGCCTTTGCCCCCTTTCGGAGGCTGCTTGTCCTTGTTCATCTCGGGCTCCGGTCGTGACCTCTTGCCTCGGTTCGGCATCTCCTGATCCTCCTTGGTCTCCCACTCCGACGGGTCCAGGAAGTTCACCTCGCTGAGCTTCGCCAGAGCCGGCAGGCAGCCGGCGAACACCTCCTGAATCTCGGTGTCCAGCATGCCTGTCCATACAAAGTTTGAGGGCATACTGCTGAAGAGGAACACAGGTATGCGCGTGATCGGCCTTCTTGATGCCTTTTGCCCCACACAGGGAGCAGGGAATGGTGATTGAGCCCGTCCACTCTGCACATAAGAGCTGCACTCGGGGTTGCATGCGTTGCCAAAGCTCACCGTGCTGTTTTTGCATGTGTGTTTTGAAGCGCTGCTTGGAAATATCTGCAAGACAAACCTGACAAGTGCCACGCAAAGGTTTTACATCCTCAGCGGAAGGGTGAGGGGTACCGGCCAAGTCGGTCACATCGGCGGCCTCCGGAGGGCCTCCATTAACGAACCAGGTCATGGCCAGCTGAAACAAAGCCGGGCATGTTGCACGATGATCCCTGCCTGCTTGGTCCTTGTGGCCACACCATCGGCATGTGCCCTTAACGGGCGGGAGGTTGTTCATGCACCATACACGTACACGACCACTATGTGCCTGCCACTCATCGGGATGGACACGCCCATAATGAACCTTCATGTAATTCTCATTGGGGAGCCATGTGCGACACAGTGCACACCTCTCGTTGAGCTCGGTCCTGAGGTCCGGGGGCGGCAGCTGATGAAAGACCTCCGGGAAAACAATTTTATCCTCCAGAACTTTGGCAATCAGCGGGGGGTGGACGTCCTCATACTCAGCTTTTGCTGTAGCCTGGCACCGGCCAAGCTCAACATGCCGCTGCAGCTCCTCCCATAGTCTGAATTTGTGCCCGCAATTGATGCATTGCGGAAGGCCGTCCTTGCCGTGAAGCAGCCGATCAAAACGATCACCCCTCGGCTTGTCCTCTCCGCGCCTGTGTGCAGTGGCACGGTGCTGGCGTAGGGACGCTGCAGTGGGAAAGCATTTGCCACAGTCAGGGCAGGGCAGGTCGTCAGCAGCACCCGCAGTGGAGTCCGGCTGGACGAAAGTCTGGAACTGCTGAAGAATACTTTCCTCATGTGCACGCAGTGCCGGATCAAGTCTGACATCGTGTGGTGGGAGTTTGCCTTGGAGCTCGCGGGTCTTTTCCAGAACTCGGGCCTGCCTGCGCATAAGCATCTGCAACGGAGATTCCAGGCCGAGCCTTTCGAGAAATTGAGCGTCGGGCTCCAGTGTGAGATGGCGGGGGCTCCCCGCGATGGCCCTTAGCTGTTTGATCAACTCGACCCTGATCATGGATGCACTCTTGTCTGTGAGACCTGAAGCCGTCAGCGCGTAGAAGACGGTTGGCAGAATGTAGGCTTTCCACAAGCGGATCCTTTTATGCAAGGGCCAGGCACGCTTAGAGTGCAGATGTTGTCGCAGGCGATGGTATGTGGCCATTCCGGCCTGGCGTCTATGGGCTGCTGTGTACTCTTCAAACCTGGCAAAGGAAATAATGGCGCCGAGGTAGACGTGTTGAGACTTGATGGGCAGGGTGAGTTCCGGGCCCAACTTCAGGTGACATTTGCCCTCCACCTTCGTGGTGATTTTGTTGCGCAGGGCCGTTGCTTGGGAGCCGGCCAGCCGAAGAAGAATGGCTGTCTTGTCTTTGCTCACTTGTAGCCCGTGGCCCTCGAAAAGATCAACAATGTCCCCTGCTTCGGCAATGGCCTGAGCAGCCTCGGCCTTGGCGCGAAAAGTCCACTTGAAGAGGTTATCGTCGGCATAGCCCACCAGGTGTTGCCTGCACCACCCGGAGCCAAATTTTTGCTCTAGGAGATGTGTTAGGTAGATGACCACACAGTTCCACAATGATGGTGAAAGTCGGCATCCCTGCCTGATTCCTTGCGTTGTGCCAAAGCGCTGAGTGTGACCTTCACGCTGCACGACATAATGGGCAGCATGGACCCACTGCAGGAGTAAATGGCGAAGCTCAGCCGGGACACCGATGTGGATCAAAGAGGCCTCCAGCAATCCCCGGTCGACCCTGTCAAAGGCCTGGGTCAGGTCGATGCTTAGGAACATCCCCCCTGCCAATCCCAACGACTTGTTCCCGGCTTTCTGCTCGTACAAGGAGCGTTGTTGAGCCTGGCACATGCTACGAACAGCCCGGCAGTGCATGAAAGCATGCCCCAGGGCCTGCTGCACCGACCTGTTGGGAAGAAATCCATACTGATGCTGCTCCTTCATGTGCGGGATAATGTAAGTGTCGAGCTGGCTGCGAAGGATACCCGTCACTGCCTTTCCGACCGGATCCAGAAGAGCAATTGGTCGAAGATGTTGAGGGGCATTCCCTGCCTTGTTGGGCTTTTGAAGAAAGGTGAGCCATGCATCGGCCCATGCGACAGGAACCGTGGCCGCTGCTTGTCGCCATGTCTGCATCAGCCCTCTCTCCAGCACCTGTGCCACAGAGGGCGCAGCACAACTCCATAGAACATGTGGAGCATAATGGGCGGGTGCGGCTTTGTTGGCCGGCAGGGCCTCGAGAGCAGACTGAATCGCCTCCGGCCGGATGTCAAAGGGAAGTGGGTCCGGTGCCTGGCTCGGGATAGCAGCTGTGGTAACCTCTTTCCAGTACGTGGCTAGGGCCTTAGCCTCGGCTTGCGGCATCAGCAGTGCACCCGTGCTCGATCGAAGTTGTGCTCGCGTGCGTGGCTGTTTGGGGGCATGCCTGCGCAACAAGAAGAAAAGTTGATCCACGCGGTTGTGGTAATCAGCAGCCTCGGCCCGACGAAGAAGTTCGTTGAAACGGTACCGCCGGAGGAGTCTGCTGTTGCGGGCCACAATTTTATGCATTTGCTGAAAGCGAGAATGGCACCTCCAAGCACGAAAGCACGCACGGAGACCTGAGACACATAGTCGAAACTGCTGGCTAGCAAGTCTGCGCTGCAACCACATGTGCTTAATGGTGCCAACATGTTGGTGATGCTCCCAGGGCGGCTGCAAACTGCTTTGGCGCTCGATGGAAAAGTTTTGCCGGCCGGCCTTCAGGATGATGCTGTTCACTTGCTCCGGTGTGTAGACAGAAACTTGGCTCAGCTCATGTTCCACCTGTGCCTGGAAGGCTTGCACATCCGGGCCATTTTGAGCAATCCTGGCAGTGAGCAAAGCACACTTCCATTGCGGCCAGGGTGGTTGAGGCCGAGGCTTCACGAACTGGAAACGCCTGAAGTGCAAAGTGACTGCCACAGGTAGATGCCGTCCACCTCCACGCCAGCGAGCCACAGGACAGTCACCAATGATGCGAGAGGCTGTCCTGAGTGTAGCGCCTCGCCGCCTGACCATGACATAGTCCAGGAAGGAGCGGTACTGCTTATCGCGCTGCGTAAGTACATGGGTGTAGCTACCATGCTTGCCGAAAGTGTTCACAGCCTGCAGTCCAAAGTCCTGCAAGATGCCCAGCATGTCGGCTGAGTCCAAGGAGTCCTCCTTCTCGCCATCGCACGTGCCTGCACCTATGCAAGGAGGGGTGGGCTGGGTGATCGTGTTGAAATCGCCACAGAGAAAAAGCTGGCTGCCTCGAGGAATCTGACCAAGAGTGGTGCGTAATGCCATCCACACCTTTGAGCGCTTCTTCACGATCTCGGTGTCGCTCTCTCTACTCCCCTATGCATGCATGTAGGTGCCTACGATGTCCACCCAGCCGTGCTTGCTCTGCGCCCGAACATGTAGAACTCTACCTGCAACCACATGATTGTAGCGAATGGTGCCGCTGTCAAAGATCGACCTCTTGAGCATGATCATGACTCCTGCCTGTGCTCTGGACACCGAAGTGCCCACGCCGCTCTGAATACATGTCCACTCGCCCGCAACAAACTCCGAGCTTTCCCTCATCCAGGTCTCCTGCAAGCAGACCACGTCACATGAACATGTTTTGAGCCATGTGTAAAATTCGTCCTTGCACGTGGAAAACCCGCCGCAATTCCAAGTCAAAAGCTTGATCGCCGCTGATGCCTGGGAGCTTGCACCGGATGTGGCTGGTTTTGCTGAAGGAGACTGCTGCGCCGTTGGGCGGTACTGGGCTTGAAGCTCGTGAGCCTGCATGATACGACCACGGTAGCGAGCAAAGCCATCCCGACCTGCTCGCGCTACTGCTCGTTTGTATGATCTCTTCCGGGAAAAACTGTAGCTATGTTGGCCTGTAGCACAAAATTTCGCAGCACCGGTCGCCACGTCTTCATCATGATGTATGCTGCTCCTCAGAGACGTGTGCTTCGCCTCCGAACCCTCGCCTCTGCTGTCCAGAGCTCCCTGTTGAGACCCAGACGTCACAGCCGACGGACTTGGGACCGCCGCGGCCACATCACATCCATGTAAAGCTGCTGCTGTTGTAGTGCTCTGCTGAATAAAATTGTCATGATGCATGCCAAATAAGGAAATCGTGAAAAACGTGTAAAGGAAAACCATGAAAAGTTGCACCAAGCGCAGTGAACAGAGGCACCGACGGCTGCTGAAAACCATGCGAAGCTACAGCTACCCCGCCCCACCCACCACTCGCAGCAGAAACAGGATTGAGCCGAGAGGCTTGTCCATCCGGACTGTTGAGCAACTCATCGATGTGTCGACAAAAGGTCTGTCCCATGAGGGCAGCCAAGGTGTGCAACTCAGGTGGGATCAATGCCGCAGGCAAACGCCAGTTTTTGCTGAAGGGATCCCGGGGATTGGAGCGCTCAGCCACTGGATGAAGGGCAAGGATGCGCTTCTTGAGTGCGACAAACTCGGCCGGCGCCAAGTTTGGGGCAGCTGGGAAGTGAGGAGCGCGGGCGGCCGCCTCCACGGCTTGCAAGAAAGACAGCACAAGGTGCCCCTCAGCAGCGAAATGGCACCGGGGCCTCGGCGCAGGCTGGGTGCACGGCCGGATGGGCATGCCTATGGCCAGGGGGACACGCGCCTCAGGCATTTTCAGTACTTGCAAAAAGACATCGAGCGCCCCCCCTACTTTAATGCACGACAGACTGCGAAGGATCCCAGCTGCAAACGTGATCAGGTTGCGGGGGGGCCCCAAGGAAAGAGGGCCACTGGCGGATGAGCAGGAGGGCAGCCGTGGGGTTAAGGCGGTTTTGGCGTCGCTCTGCCTTGCGTTGCTCGCGGGTTTTTCCACGGACCTTTTCAGGAACTACCAGTTCTACAAAGACTGCCAGGAGTTGCCCTTGGCGAAACTCTAACCGCAGAAGACAACCCTCGGAGGGAGGCCGGTTACCGCTTTGGCGATGCGAGAACCAGCCAGTGTTCTGCGATGGCGTAAAGCCATTGGGACACGACAAGCCAAGCACGTATGTGCCAAAGCTGAGACAGTCCTCCACCTTCAGCACAACCGGTAGCGCCTGGGTGAACCGTCGGGTGGTGTCCTGGTGCGACATCCGCCGGTTCTCCTGCCCAGTATCCTCAAGAGCAGCGCCCTGGCTGTAAACATGAAAGTGCAGGAAATCCACCACACGCTCGAGCGACAGCTCGCCGAGGGAAGTCTGCACAGGAGCGGGCAATGGCAGGTTGACCGACTTCTCCTCTTCATAGCATCTAAGCCTGACTTCCTGAATGATCCAGGAGCGCAGCTCCGCAACACAATGTGGCAGGGAGGCTGCCGTGACGGTGCGGACAGCCTCGAGGAGACGCGGCGGCAGGGAGTCCATGGAGACAAGCCGCTTGAGCGACTCCTCAGTGACGCGGTGCGGGAAGAGGGCAGCCATAACCCTTCCAACCTCACTATCCACAAGACCCCGACTACGGTAGAAGTGAAGGGAGTGGAAGGCCCACTCCAGTTCTTTCTCCAGGCTACGCAAAGGGAGGAAGGCACGTGCGGCGGTGACATCCACCTGGGCCGGCAGGGTTGGGCTAGCACGCAGGAGCAAGTGGGAGTAGTTGTGACACTGAGGCCCAAAAAAGCTCTTCCGACACATTGAACAACCAATGCATCCCTCCTGCACGTATACCTGGGGCGACCCGTATGGCGGCCCGCGCAAACTCAGTGGGCACCCAAGGGCACAAAAAGTCTTCGCTGGCATGGATGATGCGCAACCAACACGGGAGGCGCAGGAGTTCCGCGAAGAGCCAATCTGGCATGCCAACGGCCCCAATGTCCACGGCTGCTGGCAGCGCAGCATCAGCCGCCACTCCACCGGAGGCGGCGGGCAAGTCCACGGGTGGGAAATGGTTGTCGCCCCATAATTTGCGAAGGAGCACACCCACCAGGCCCGCCGTGTAGCTGCCTGCAGAGAAGCCACGGACGGTAGGCCGCGCTGAGCCGATACTTGAGAAGGCAATGCACAGGGCCGCCAGACACGCGGAATGTGGATCCTGCAAGTGAGAGCTGCGGCGTGCTCTCTGAAGCTGCGCGTCAATGGTTCGGGCTTCCGGACTGGACGCGATGAACTTCACACCCAACATAGCGCGCGCTAACTGGATGACCGGCAGGGGGGAAAGCAAGAGGCTGGTATAGCGACCCGTGGCGCTGAGCCGCGCCGAAGCCGTCGCCGACAACTTGGAGCATGTCTCCGCAAGGCACCCCGTGGGGCCGTAGCACTGTGTGGAACACATGAGTTGCCAAGCGTCGTTGCGAGCCGGGGCGCAAAATGTACAGGCGCCAGAGCACTCAATGCGCACGTCAGGGGACGTCCAGGGGGCTGCCCCCACCCTGACGCTCGTCCTCATCTGCATGCGCCATGTCGAAGCCCTTGACCGCTCGATAGAAATAAGATGCTAGCTCGTGGTCGGAGACGTCTAGGGTTATCATTTGCTCCGGAGATGGGGCGGACACCGCCGGTTCCAACTCCGTTGCCGGCAGGAGGGCCCAAATTCTCCAGCGCGCCCATGTGCGCATGTGAGGCGAGAACCGAGGCGGAAAGGGAGGACTCGTCGTGCCCCCCCCCCAGGGCTACAACGCTGAAGCCCGGACCCCCATCAGGCCAAGACCCGATACGGCCCACCAGGGCGGAGCTCCTCGCCACCCCCAGAAGGGTAGGCAAAGAGCGGTGACGCTCCAGCTGTGCCAGCGGGGCCTTGCCGTTGGCTCCATAGCCGTGCACAAACGCCGGGCCCACGCAGCTGCGATCCTAGGGAAGCGTTTTGGCCATGAAGAGGTAGGGCCCCGGCAGGCTGCACACCCGGCAGTGGCTCGAGCTCAAGGCGAAGAGAGTGCCCCTCTGGCCCATCCCAAAAGCCTCCTCGTGCGGCTTTAAGACTTCCCGTAGTGAGTCATCGGGGTTGGGGGTCTTCATGCTTGCACTGAAGCAACCCTGGTCGTTCGGGTACCAGTAAGGCAGCTGCAAGACGGCTCCCAGGTACGCCCAAGCAGTGACAACATCTCCGCTGTGTCGTGCCTGCGCCCCAAAGAGCGGAGTACCCGCCAAGAGCTCTGCCGTTCGCCGCTCACGGGGCCTGGGACGCGGCAGCGTCACCAGGTGTGCAAGCTTCGACAGAAGCAGTGGGACAACCTCCGCGGCCCAATCCGCCAGCACCGTCGGGGACAGCCCATACCGGCGGCAGAGTTGCGAGTCCCCAATTGTGCTCCCTTCACCATCGCACTCACAAGCGTCCACATAGGCCTGCCAGGACCCTGGACCGCGCATGTGTTGTGGCAAAATGCCAACTTCCGTATGAAGTCGGCCTGGCTCCTTAGCAAAGACAGAGAACCCTCCCTGGGCGTCCGTGGAAGGCTCTGTGACAAATATTACACCTACGGATTCGCGTGAGCGCCGGCAGCAAGGACTGCCTTGGGCAGGTACAGTGGGCGCAAATGACCATACCGTATCGTCCGGGGCAGGCATGCCAGCGCCGGAAGAGGCCTGTAGATCCTGCGTGTCAAGACACAGATCCTGCAAGTCAGCAACCTCGAACAGCGCAGTCGGGGCCGCATCGTGATCCGACAAGATGACATGCTTGCCCGGGAGTAAGGCTTTAAGCACCCATAGCGCGTAGACCTTGCCCCACCAAACCACCGCCCGACGCAAGCCCGTTTCCTGCCGTAGCGGGAAGAAGACACAGGCGTGCCGTTCGTCATGCCGGCCAGTCCAGCAACATCGGTTAAGAATGTGAGGCAGAGTGTAACGGGTGTGGTCATACTCCTCCAAGGAGTCTGTGTCCGTGAAGAGCCACAGGGTGTGACAATGCACGACAGCGGGGTCCGTACAGAGCCACACAGCGTATCGGGCAAGCAGGCCCAGGTTGACCGGCACGGCTGGTTCGTACTCGCGGGGGACCGCTGGGATCTGGGCGAAGGGGAGCAGGTCCACGCTGATCGGCAGCTCCTGGAAACCATAGATCGAGCTCATGGCGTCGCTGCTCTCCTCGATCGGGGTACGTCGCGTCCCTCCTGACCGAACACTCAGACGGCTAACCAGGAGGCCCACCAAGCTGCGCCCTGCCCTGGGCTCGTGCGAGCAAACAATCACCGGTAAACTGCAGCAAAGCGCCATGAAGTCGAAGGCCTCCGCAATCGTCACAAGGTATAACCCGCAATGGAAAAAGGAGAATCGTCCGTTTGCAGTGGGTCACCTTGCTGCATGAAGCGCCAAGACGCCGGGAGTTCAGTGAAATCGGGTGCGTCCACGAAGCTCGGAAGCACCTGCACCAGCAAGTATCCCTCGTACATTTGAAGGTGTAAGTGCTCCAGCCCCGAGATCGCATGCTGAATGGACGCCACAGCCAGAGAGATGGGGCGATGGATTTCTGTGCCCACGCATGGGTTTTGAGCCGAACGCTAAAACCTTAGAAATCGAATATTTCAACAATCATAAAAATCTTCGAGCACTCAATGGAATATCTCAAAAGGCAATCCAATCAATATAAATGAATCGAGACTCCCGCTCTTTTTAATCCGGATGGTGGTGGATGTCCCCTCGTCGGAGGGAAGGCATAGCACTTCTGGTGCGCGAAGCCTTGCCCCCTTCTCCCTGAGTCACCAAGGAGTGCTATCGTGCTTCCTCTTCGGGATACGAGACTGAAAACTGCTTGCAGACTGCAGCGCCTTACGAGACGCATCGAAGTTAGACTTCGACAACCACAACTGATTCAGGAGCTCAAGCGGTAGCTCACTGAAACTGGCATTCAAGCGGTGTTCGGGACTGAAAGAACTGAAATCCTGATTCGTCAAAGCATCTGCCAACTTGTTTTCATCGCGTGGTTTCCAAGTCAAGCTGAGCCTCAAACATGCCTTCCTTAAAAGGTGAGAGAGCTGCATATTGATAAGCATGAGTGGCCACTTGGTTGTGGACTGCTTTTTAAGAAGTTTCTCGTTGCTCTGATTGTCAGTGGCTCCGGCGATAACGACCGGGAGTCGCCTCTGCAAACTACTCTCCTTAAGGTGCCCAAAGAACCACAGTGCTGCCAAGGTGGCCAACAGCTCGGCTGAAGCCGACGCCCATTGTGATTTTCCCCCTTCGTCGAAAAGGTACGGCCCATCAGCAGGCTTAACCACTATAGAGAACCAAGGGGCAACCGACAGATCCTCGCTAGAGTCCCAACCTCCTAAGACAACATGTCCATCATCGCATTTAGCATCCGTGTGAAAAAGGTGCCCTTGCTCCTCGCGTTGTCGGCCCGGCGCCACTTTGAAGTTAATGTCCTTAAGCGTTGCCTCCAAGTAGAGTAAGGTCAGGATGACAGTGTCCGGCATTTTTGCGACGTGGCTCTTCGAAGCTGCAGCTGACCAAGCGTACAAGGGGGCCAAGTGCGGTTTGATCCAGTACACGACCCTGGACACGAAACCCAGTCGCCCGAGGAACTCAGCAAACTTCCTTACTGAAACAACGTAGCGCGCCTTACGTGCCTCGTTAACCCAGTTGCACACCCAAGCACCCCGGGCTTCGCTGAGCCCCACAAGTCTTGCACCGTAGTCAAGCTCGTAGCCTATGAAGGCGACAAGCGTTTTTCCCTTAAACTTATGGTAAGCAAAAGGAACCCCTATCATTTCTTGAAGGATCAACCAAACCAAGAAATTGATGTACATCCGCTTCCCATAGAAAGTGGGATTCACGTCGTCCACGTAAGCGAAGTGGTAAAAAGCATGCTGCAGTAGGCAACGGGCGACAACTCTGCCTATGATTCCGTAAAGCCTGCTCCACCAAAACGAGGCCGGGCTAAGCCCGAACGTTCCTACCTTATTGATCCAAATCGTGGCGGAGCCTTGCTCCGCTCTGCATGCCATCAAGGCCCAGTCGCCCTTCCGATGCAAAACCAACCTATGGGCCGCACTCACATCTGCGGTCGCGGCCAAGGGGATTTCCTGCATAGCACCTGATTGACGAACTGAAAATGACATTTCCGCCGGCCCGGGTACTGCAATCTGATTCACCAAGCGTATCTGATTATGGACATTGACGCCGTGTGTTCCATCATGTAATGGCCGCACACTGCCATCAGGTTTGGAGATGGCCCCCATGGAAGCCACGCGGATCATGTCTTCACTGTACTCCTCGCGCAGCGCCCCGAGCGTTGTCGGTTTCATTCGCCCCAGTTTTTCCTCGGCACGAAACTTTTCGAGGAGCTCAGCCGAGCTCGACTCGGCGCTTTTGTAGTTTGTCCTATCATACTCTAGCTCGGATTCATCAAGTTTCCGCCAATGACTTTTCTTTTCATACACCTGTGGCAAGTGCGGTATCTCGCCATTAATGCCTAGGGGTACCCCGGTACAAAAACAATCGACTCCCTCTGTTAATATCTCCCAATCGGGATCCCCAAGTCTTTCGGCAGAAAGCGACAGTGCTCTCAGCAGGAAGGGCTGTGCATCAGGGGCCTCAAGCGCGTCTGGGTTGCCTTCCGCACCAAGCAACGCTGCCCACTGCTTACGCAGTGCTTCCAACTTCTCTCCGGCGAATGGCGATGACTCGACCTTGCCTGAAAGTAGGCTCAAGCAGAAGCGACGGGGATCTGGCACATGCTCGGCAATGAAGTTCGTGAGCATCCGGTACATAGATTGCGCATGCGCCGTAGCCGCTGGGCTTAGGCGATGCCCGCGGTCCATGGCCTCCACCGCGCCGGTGAACACAACCCGAACCCGTCGGTCATGTCGGCCTCCTGTCCTTCCCACTCGACTCGGACAGGGTTGCCTCGGTTCCCGCACGCCTCTGGCCTGAATGCCACCGGTGGCTCAGTGTCTCCTGTGCTTGGGCCCTCAGCAGTGCCCACAGCTTCTGAAGTCTCACCATTTGACGCATCCAAGTCTGGAGGGAGCCTAAACCCCAAAGCCTTAAGGTGGGCGAGGTCCGAAGCCTTAACCGTATCAAGCTTGTCAGTCACGTATGCAACCATCACCACGCATGGTACAATCGCCATGCGTCGAAGCTCACCGGACCCTTGCAAACATCCAAGAGGACGCCAGGTCTCTGCCCATCGGCGTGGCCTCCCATACATCGCCCCCTTGCTGTTCCAACCAGATTTGGCCGCCTTCAAAATCCGACAAAGGCATTACCATGTTCGGACAATGTGCATTCCGGGCATCACGGTGGACACCCGTCCTGACGTCATCGAAGAGTGCGATAGCAGAGGCTTGAAAACCTGGTGCCACCTGTTGCAAGGACCTGGGTAGCCGAAGGCAGCGCAGTGGAATGATGCCTCAAACCGACAAAACCACCCTTGCAATGCGCTCCCGTTGCGAAAGCACTGCGCAGCTGTGGTCGACTCCCTAGGTGGCTCCTCCCGGGGCAGCATGTCAAATAGCTCTAACACACAGCGACATTCTAGCGGCCCTGGCGCCAGGAGCTCCGCTGCAGCACTCTCGGGATCGCCTAAGGATTTCAAGGGAAGCGTAAGGGAACTACAACCTGAACAGGAAGAAGGAACCGCCGGGGGACTACAACCTGAAGGCGGGGACGAGTCAGTCATTAAGGAACCTGAAACGTCGGACAAGTGTGGATCCTCAGGCCACGCATTATGCACTTTAGGGGACTTGCGTGGGGATTTGATCTCGATTATGTTGCTGCTCTCCCCACCAGAGCTGTAATGAATATAGGTGTGGCTGGCTTGCACTCTCCACAGACTGGGACCCTGTCTCTCTCACACTTCCACACGTGCAATCCTATGCAGGCAGAACCGGCGGCCGTTCCTTTTGCACTCGCTGCCGGCGGCGGTTCGTCTGTGCACGGGATAGCTCTGATTGCTCAGGATAGAAGACACATATAGCACTTAGCTATGGGCATTGACTTGAGCCAAACGTTGCGTGGGCGGTCACATAGAAAGGTAAGGAGAAGCGATGCGGTGTGCGTAGCACGTCCACAAGCTTACTCCTAGAGTCGAGGGACGCGTAGCGTGCCCCCTTCTCTTGCACTCTACACGGTCTTGCTCACAGCTCTTATAGTGACACCTTAGAACTTGACAAGGCATCGCAGTCCGTTCGCACCCCCCATGAGTTGCGTCTCCGACGCTGCTCACCCGGAAGATGGCACGATAGGACAACAGAAAATGTTCCGCCGCAACGTTGACATTGAAAATCAGAGCTTTGCATCCCAATTAGAAACGTTGTGACACTCATCTACGTCAGTAACGATCCCCTGAAATGGCAAACGAATCAGGCGTCACCGAAGAAAGAAGCATTCGCGATGGCATTCCACGGGCGAAGCTCAGAGGTCACGAACTGAAAGACGAGGTAGACCAAGCGTTGATTCACCTCCATCTTCGCGTGGTCGCAGGATCGCGGTCCCAGGGCCGGAGGTTTTCCTCTGGATACTGTTCCCTTTGCTTTCCTTTGTCCTTGCCTTTGTTTCGGCCTTTGCCGGCGGTGTAGTCGTAGTAGGAATTGGAGTTCCAACCTCCATGCTGCTCACCTCCGGTTCTCTCACGCCCTTTTGAAGGTCCCTTGGCCGAAGAAGCGCTTGCACGTTCCTCCGTAGTGACAGGCGTGTCCAGGATGGAAGTACCACCTGGAGGGAGATAGTCAGCGGCCGAGATGTGATGTAGGGCTTCAGTACGTTTGGTTGTCGGATTTTGCTGTCTCTCAGCCTTGGATCTGACCAATCTGTCCATGAAATGCGCAGGCATTTGCACATTGTGGTCCACCAGCAATCCAATGGTCTGGACTGAATGATCGGCGTGAGTCAGCAGGATACCGACAGGGTCGATGTACAGGAAGTCCACCGGTCCAGTTGGCGTTGGTCGTAGCACTGAGAATTGTTGGTGTCCTGTCACCATCGGAATCACCTCGCACAGGACGTTCAGGCAACAGAAGTGCATAGCCTTCACATCTTCATCCCTGTTGCTCTTCAAGTACGTAGTAGGGTTGAAGTTGTCCCTGCCAATTCCCATCATGTTGGCTCCCCGTGTAAGCAACGAAAGCATCTGATTCGTCCGGAAGCGCTTCAAAGTGTAAGTCCCGTTGGGATCGTACTGCTTGAGGTTCTCAGGCTCCTTGGCAAAGCGAATGATCTCCTCGTCAGTCACATCCCTGCTCACACCCGTTTCTCTGTCCACTCCAGCCAAAGATCCCCACTTTCCGAGCACATCATAGCGTTGGCCAAGTGCGAAATTCTCCCTCATCTGGAACAACGGCATAGTTGCCCACTTCGCAAATCCTGACCAAGCCTTGTAGATGGTTCTGCACACCACGAATGCCATATACGAAAGAGCGGCCATGTTGGCGTCGATGCAATGGGCATTTCGCTTTCCTGGGTAGTAGGATGGCTGCATGGCGGTACGTGCGAGTTGTAGTTCAGGATCGATGTTCAAAGACTGGCCGGCGATGAGGACGGGACGTCGTTCCTGTGCAACTGCATCTGGTACTGCGTCATCAAAGTCCTCTCCTGGCTCTGTGTCCATTTCTTCATCAGGTTCCTGTTCTGGATCGTCCTCCGCGACGACAGATGGTTCTGGGATTTCCTCAGGTTCCGCAACGGTCTCTGTCTCCATGGCTTCCTGCTCCTCGACGGTCGCCTCAGGCACTGCTGCTGCCGCGGCTTCCATTGTCTGAGCAATGAAGTCACTGGGGATCTCCGTAGGAGTCTCCCGTTGTGGAGTACCTTGGTAGTATCCGCAAGAAACGAATTGTGACCAGCAGGACGTGCATCGGGAGAAGCATGCTGGAACGATGTTGTAGCATGCCGGGCACACCCTCATTCTCCTTCCATCCTCGTCTCTGCGTAGGTCTTCGGGTCGCCAATTCTTGATGACAAACTTGATCCCTTTGTCCATGTAGTGATGCCGAACCGTGTTCTCCCTGTGGGACTCCAGGACAGTCGTAAGGTCTCGAATGATCTGCTCCTTGCTGGTGTCGTGGGGTCCAGGAGGCATCTCGCAAAGCAATTCCATGATCTTGCTTGGTGTTCGGTATCTCTCGAATTCAGGGAGCAAAGGTGATGCATTGTAGTCCAACACCATCTCTTTCTCCAATCGTTCATCGTAGATCTTTTCCACCAGAGCGAAAGAGTGTGTATCTTGAGGATTCGGGACGCAAAACCATACCTCCTTGACGAACTGGAACGGTATCGTTCGGCCAACGATGATGATGCCGCTGTCCGTGATACGTCCATCTTCTCGTGCAAGGTCCTGCGAAGGGACATGGAGGACCGCCAGCGGCATGTGCTTGGCTTGTGGTCCATGCACCCGCATCTTGGTCGTCGCATTCCGGTGATCGAACGGTGCGAATACCCCCCAATAGCTGTGGAGTCTGCCGCCTTGGTTGCCTCGAAATTGGCGCCTATGGTCGAAGTCCCCGTCGGGGTCCTCCGAACCAGGCATGATGCCTTGCGTGACAATGGAATCCAGGTTGCGGCATGCCGTAGCGTGGAACGCGCCTCCAAGACGTTGCAAGAGGGTCATAGATGGAGATATTGCGAACCTGTTCTTGTCCAACTGAAGCAAATTGTTCTGGGGATCTGAGTGCGCAGAGTGACCACTCGTAGCCCGAACTGCCCATGGCTTCACCCAGCCGTTGCAAACGTTCAGGTACCTCTGGCTGTGCCGGCAACGATCATTGTTCTGGATCTCTGTGATCTGGTCAGGAATCGATACCAACATGTTCGAGCCTGCGGATCCAAGAGTCTCCGTGCCGGGGTCCTTCACTCTCACTCCCAGGAACTGCAGCCGAATCTTGGCCTTGTGGCGTCTCGTGGCTGCGAGCATGTTCCCTTGGAACAATAGCTGGAGTCTTTCATTGTACACTCTCTTCCTCTGTTGATCATCGGTCCTTGAGACCGCTTCTGTGATGCGTCTGCTGTCATGGGTCCATAGTTGCTCATGCCTCACCAAATCCTCGATCAGCACCCACCCTCCTTCATCACATCGAATGACGCTGCTGAATGCCACCTGGCACCTGTTGTCAAGCCATTCCGAGCCTGGGCGCCTGGCGATTCTGTGACGCAGGTCAGATTGAATGCATGATAGCGCCCAATCCGCGTTCCTTCTTCGATGATGGGTGATGTTGCGAAGGACAACTTCGTTCACGATGTCCCATCGATTGTGGATGAAGCTTGCACCCTTGGTTGGGATCAGGTCGAGAATCCCGCATCGGATTGGCCTTCCGCCGCCGATGCATTCGTAGCCTGCATTGGTGTAGCCCTGAATAGTATCATCATATTCAAAGCTAGGACGGTCTCCTCGTTGAGGTAGGCGTCGGTCGCGATGGTCCGAAAGCTGCTCAATGAGGTCCACCACCCGCTGACTGTTCTCTGGTCCCATGTCCTGCAGCGGTACACCACAAGCATCATGTAAGCCCCGACGGTTCTCCACATCCGTGCAGAGATTGTGTTTGTTCTCGTAACGGATCAAGACCACATCACCCCGTACGGCTTCGCCTCCGCGTCGCGGTCGGGCTTTGGCCTTGGGTCGTCGGTCCGAGGATGCAACACTCACATGGTCTGTGGTGTCAACGTCCATTGGCTCATCTTGCTTGTGGAGGTATTCGACGTGGATATCGAAGAAGGCTTTCCTTGATGATCTGGATGCTTCGAAGTATCAGATCCCGGGTCGCAGCATTTTCCGTGCAATTGGACAGATGGTGTTGATCACTGCCACAAGCGATACAGAACGTGAGGCTATTGCTTCCGACCGACATTTCGCCCTGAGCAAGTATTCCCACATAGTCCTGAAGCTG